ACCCTGCCTGGTGAAGCCTTGCTACAGCTGGAGCTACGAAGCCTGGTCCGACTGCAAGTCAGAGGTCAGTGTCCTCCGTCAGCCCGTCGACATCAGCATTTCACCCTGTGCTCTCTAGGTTTCAGTGAATCAGGGGTGACTTCACAATGTGGCCCGCAAGAGCTCTGCAAGAATATAATACGTTTATTATACGGCTTGATGCCGCTTTACAGAAGCGCTTTGTCCATAAACTACATGTCCCACAATGCATCTGTTTTGTGAGACTCACTGAAGAGACTTTCAATTATTTTCAATTACTTGCCCGAGACTTCTGCTTTCAGACGTAGTTAATTATGAAGTTATTACTCTATCTCAGGGATGGGCAAATGGCGGCCCGCGGGCCGCATGCGGCCCCCTCCTCCCCTTTTTGTGGCCCTCAGAATAATTTATAAACAACGTAATTAATAAAAAAATTTAAAAAAAAAGTTTTTATTTTGTTTTACTTGTAGTACTGATACCGTCCACTAGAGTCCTAGTTACGTCGCAAGCTGCGTACATGATTTCAAATACCGCGAAATAATCTGTGACGCATTTGTGTGTATTGTGTTTGTTTCCCGGGGAAACCCTCACAAGGAACACCGGCTGTTGTTATGCCTGCTGTGACGTTAAGTTGCCGCTTGTAATTATGCCTTTAGAAGCTTAAAAGTTGTATTTATCATCTGAATTTGGCGAAACAAGTTTAATATTCTTAAAACCAAGACTTTGTTTATTTGAAATCAGATGAAAACAAACTGTCACGGACCCTGCCGTGTTATCTATGATTACCACGCTTTTCATTCATAATTTCAGCAGGGGGGAGGGGGAGTGGTGCTGAGGAACAGCAGAGTGCGGGCTGACAGGTGTCTGTGTTGACATTCCCCTTATTGTGGAATAAGGGGAATGCAGAGACAGGCTACAAGTGTTTTAGGTTCAAGTTAGACAACTAACATCTGGGTTAGTGTTCATGACTTCATGTGTATGTCATCTTAAGGCGAGACACGGCAGGCAAAAACATCGTTTTTCAAGCACTGGTCAATTTTGAGATTTTGTGCTATTTTGATTCTATAACATGTTTTCTTTCAGGCTTTTGGAAGGAAAACGTACAAAATACACATTTAAGTATTTATTTGACTATAGTTTGTCTATTTGCGTCAGTAGATTTCTCCTAAATTCACCAAAAGTTAGCTTTCTAACGTAACATAAAGTACCGCGACCGCTGTGTGCACCATGTCAACAGAGATATCGTTAGAAAGCTGTGTCTCTCCTGCACAATCTCATCGGATCCAAATATGGTCATTTCCTTTGTATCAGCAACCAATCGTGAAAGCACAAAGGGGTCTTAAACCAAGAAACGAAATCTCATTGGCTGGTGTCAATTTCAGACAACGTGATTCGTTCAGATGCGTCACGTGGTGTGCTAAAACACTTCCTGGTTAGCTTTCCGCTAGAAATGTAAATCTCAAAATGGCAAAAGAACGGCGAAAAAAAAAAGTTTACAGAGAAGATGACAACAATTATCCCTTGCACGAAGCAAGATTATACAAAAAACAAATGACCCCGAACANACACACACACACACACACACACACACACACACACACACACACACACACACGTGTGTGTGTGTGTGTGTGTGTGTGTGTGTGTGTGTGTGTGTGTGTGTGTGTGTGTGTGTGTGTGTGTGTGTGTGTGTGTGTGTGTGTGTGTGTGTGTGTGTGTGTGTGTGTGTGTGTGTGTGTGTGTGTGTGTGTGTGTGTGTGGTGTTAGGAGTGCCCTTTAACTAAATTCACTCTGCATTTGAACAGAGTGCCCGAGGGGAGGATGTGAGGAAACTCTCAATTAGCGGCCGTCTCAGAGGGATTGCATGTGGTTTTTATTTCACCGTACCTCCTTAAACCCATACATGCAGCAATACATCTTTAAACGGCAACATAGGAAATATAGAATAATTTTGTATTTAAAGTTACATTTTGTCATTAATACTTATAAAAAATATGTATTTGTATTTTTCTGAGTGGAGACAATAAATGTAAAAAAAAAAAGCTCCAATATTTTTTCCGTTTTTCAAATTCATGCAGGAGTTATTAATATCTGTATATCTCTATATATTCATATAATATTCCATTCCCTACACTCCTAATGTAAATCATATCCTGCTTTATATTCTGTCTAAAGCCCTTCAGTTGTGTTTTATTGTCAGAGTTGATAGATTTTGTATCTTCACGGTCTACTGTATATTTTTAAGTTTTAATTCTATTTTGAGGTGTTTATAATCTAGCACTGTTTATTTCTACTCTTTAATTTCTACTTATGTGCAATGCCTTGTTTGTTTTGCTGCTGCAACGCAAACATTTCCCAATAAAGTACCTCTTATCTTGGCACAATCTTATTTGACCTAAAGTCGCACAAATGATGCTTTTAACTTGAGTTTGTTAAACTCAAAAAGATATACATTTATTCCCAAAGCAACAAATTCACTTGATTTCAATTCAGTAGTTCTGGTCTTGCACAACCTGCCTTCTTCAGAAATTGAAAAAAAAGTTCAACACGTGAACGTTGCATGAAAAATAAATGCTGGTTTGTGTAGAAATATAAATAAAATGGTTGTTTTATTTTCTTCTGCAGCACTATAGAAATGATATAGCCACCTTCTTGGGTCCCGACACATAGGAGATCTTTACCACTAACTTGAGTTTTTTTACAGTAAAAAAATATATACATATATTTCCAAAACATGAAATCCACTAGATGTCAGATTTGGTAGTTCTGGTCGTTCTTCAGAAAGGGAAAACACTTAACTGCTGGGAATGTTACGTGAAAATAAATACTAGTTTGTGTAGAAATATAAATAAAATGGTTGTTTTAATTTCTTCTACTATGTTAGCACTTTAAGAAATGCTATTGCCACCTTCTTGGGGGTCCCGACACGTAGGAGATCTTTACCACAAGCTGCAAACGTATGTTAAGTTAACAAAGTCATTATGCCGTCTAAAAACTAAAGTGCATTTGAATCCCAGATGTTAGATCCCTCTCCAGTGTCTTTGTACAGAAGATGCTCTCTCCTCCATCACGATGCTCCAGCGTTTCCCTGCAGGCGGCCATGCCAGTGTTTGGGGTTGAGCGAGGGGTGGCAGTGATGCATGCTGGGTGATATACGTAGCGTGCCAGCTGTCACTATCAGTGTTTGGCTGCAGAACACACACTGCTGTGATAATCCATGCACACAGAGTGTAGAACATCTCTGAGCTGGTGCAGGTACCTTCAGCTCATTGATATTCCTGGCTGTGGATCAGGAATCAAACTCTTCCAGGGAAGGAGAAGATAAAAGAAACACAGGAAGCAGAGCGGGAAGGACTTCCTGCTGTTCCTGGGAGAGAAAGCCTGGTCTCTGCATGGCTAGGTTAAGAAGAAGTTAAGTATTTAATCTAATTCTAATTCTATAATATCGTGCATTTACGTATCTGCCACTGCTAAATACTGTTAATATTTACTCAATGTATAACAATTATTAAGAAACTCTGTAAACACACCGTACCTCAAAAGGAGCAGGGAGAAGAAAATAATAGATGGTCTGTCCTTCATATTTTCGTATTCACAGCCAGTCATTCAAGTATCGTAGGAAAATAAGAGAAACACAAAAACGTACAAAACAGACTTAGTTCCCCCTAGACCAGAGGTGTTAAAACTCAAGGCCCACGACTTCATTTTATGTTCCTGGGAAACAAAGCCTGGCCGCCGGGGGACAGATTAAGGTTACCCCGGTATCTAAAGCCGGTGTTGGTTTCATATCTGCCGTGTTCATGGAATGAGGATCTTCTCAAGGACTGCTGGAGAGCAAAGTGCTCCCCGAGCCCCTGAGCAAACACTCCTAATGCAGCGCCGATCAATGCCCTGATCCTCTGGAGTTACACGCTCCCACATTATTACCCTCACTCGGTAACATCATCGTCTCTCACAGCGCTTCTGGTTTCCAGACTTAATGCATTATGGGAACATCTTAAAGGCCATTCCACTGGTTTTTCTGTAGAAAGATCGAATAACAGTCGGCCAGTTAAAAGGAAACAATCCTCTCCTTGTCACCGGGGCTTTTCAGTTTGAGACAGAAACGTATTATAGGAACAGTAAGATCATGGTCCCTCACAGGGTTCTGGTTTCCAACAGTACTGCAGCCTGATTACTCACAGACCATGTTGGAGTTATATTGAAGTGTAATCCAATAATATCAATACCTACAATAAGAGACGTTAAAATGGCATCATCTACCTGGTTTCTCTGACTTATAGGAAGCCCCCCCCCCCCATGATAAACGATTTACAGCGATGTGTGAAATGAGTGTTTGTGATGTATGCAGTAAAACGTTATGGCTCCTTCAGTTTTTATGGATACAGCTAATGTGAAAAAGACGCTTAAAAAAGCCAATAAAATCTGACATTTAGGAGATCTCCTCCTCATCCGCCAAACGGTAAACATGTTATCTAACCTTTGAGATTTTATTTTGAACATTTAAAGGGAAAGACGTATGGAGAAAACGTGGCTAGGTTTAGTCAAATTAAAGTATTTCTAATCCTGTTTCCAGATGTTTGAATTCTGCTTTTCGGCCAATATGGAGAAGAAGCTCATTTTGAACTCCTCCACAACGACTGGGTAAACCATGGAGCGTATCACATGGACGACTAAATGGATTTGTGGTAATATATAGATTTTGTTTTCCACTATAGTATTTCATTTCTGACCCCCAAATAGCTCGCAGTAACTTGATCCTTCTCATGTCCTGATTACTGGCAAAGAGTTCATGCATTATGGGAACATCTTAAAGGCGATCCCACTGGTTTTACTGGAGAGAGATCGAATAACACTCAGCCAGTTCAAACTGAGCAAAGATGAGGAGATAATCCTCTCCATGTCAACAGGCTTTTTCTATCTCAGTTTGAGCCTAAAGACATATTTTAATCAGCGAGACAGGCTCTTATAATGGGAACGTATCACTGGCGTCCCTCAGGGCTCCTTTCTGGGCCCTTTTCTCTTTTTTCTGAACACCAAAAAACGTTGTAATTCAGTCACTTCTTCTACCAAAGCAATCAGAATCAGAAACAGCTGTTTTACCAGGTTGGTTCAAACATACGAGGAATTTGACGATGTAAGTTAAGGTCTGTACTAGTTCAGTTCATCCAAGTGGACGTTTGCACCAAATTTGAAATAATTTCCGAAAGGGGTTCCTTGGATATCCGTTCATGAGAATGGGCCGACAGATAGGCAACTGGAAAACAATCAAATATGAGCCAAAACTGTGGACTTGATCCATCGCAAATGAAACAGTCCGTGGAAGTTATGAACACAGGAACGAAAATGAAACCCTAATTTCCAGGAGATAAGACGCAGTGACTTCTATATGTGTAAAAAACTGAATCTATATGGCCTGCTCTCCCATGATATTATACAGATGTTGGTTCCCAAAGTTAGAACGGGAAAACACGCTTTTATATATGCTACCCTTCTGCCTGGAATAATGTACAGAAGGAGCTGAAACTGTCAGATTGTATCACTATAAAACACAAACACTCTTGGTCGATGTGATTGCTTTTATTTCCTCTAATTGAAGTCGTTTTAAAATTGTGCCATTTCTATGTTTTACGACAGCTGTATTGTCTGTGTTTTATTTGTTGTAACATTGTTGATGCCACCCTCTTGATCAGGTCGCTCTTGAATAACACATTTTAATCTCAATGAGACTTTTCACCAGGTTCAAAAGACAGGACATGAACAACATGAAACACAGGGCTGCACACACTTGTAACTAAATCCATTATTCTAAAAAGACTTGATCATTCAGTCCCTTCTTCCACCACAGCTATGTAAGTTAAGGTCAGTACTAGTTCAGTTCATCCAAGTGGATGTTTGTATCACATTTGAAGGAATTCCCTAAAGGCGTTGATTTGCTCCAGGACATGAACAGGTTAGCTTTGGATTCAATCATCATTACTTTCCAACAGAGAAAAGCACTTGCAGCTAAATCCGATATTCTACACACGAATAACATGACACAACCAAACCAGAGGGTCATTGGATGTAATGGAAACACTCATACCTGACAGTCCACAGGTGTGTGTGCACTCCGACCACGTCGACCAATCAGAGAGCTGACAGTTGACGGGACATTCGACCACACAGGAAGCGTTCATCTGCCACTTCCTGTCCAGGCCCAGCTGCAGGAGGAGAGGTGGTGTTAGTTACTCTGTATGTGCGTACAAACTGTACGTCAGGGGCGGCCCGTTCTAATTGGCCCTCGTCAAATTCTTAAAGTATAAGGTATATGGCCCCCACCTGAAACTCCTGCTTGTTTTATATTGCACTTCTTAAATATATATGTGAGCGTATATTACACAGTAGTTTTCATGTGTTAATAAACCCACTAATCAAAGACATTCAGTCGATTAGAGCTGAGAACATATTCTAACGAATCCTAGTTTTATTTCCATGACAAGCTTTAAAGACCCTTCATATTTCCCCTTATTATAATCAATCTGAGTCTTCTGCTTTAAGGGATGAGCTGCAACAGGAGAACTGAAACCCTGTGGAGAGCTGGGATGTTTCTTAAATCCTAGAAAGTAGAAAGCATACATTGAAATACATTTGATTGATTTCGCTAACTTATAACTGAACTTATGAGGCTAAATACCTCTAGTGAGCGGCCCAGCCCTTTGTATGTTTTTCAGCATCCGGCCCTCAATGAAAAAAGTTTTGACACCCCTGCTGTACGTGACCTGTAACAGGAAGAGCCTCAGGACTCACCTCCTTACAGAACTTCAGGTCCACAGACTTCCCGTCGCTGCGAACACAATCCAGCATCCGGGTTTTAATCCCGTTTCCACAGACGGCTCGCTCACTGAGCTGACAGGTACTCCAGTCTGCAGAGAGACCTCAGTAAGACTCGTACAGAAACAATATAATGTAACATCGCTGTACTGTGAACTCTGCAGAGATGCTCAATTACATGATAGCTTGATTTAGAGACGGATAGCTAACGTGTCTTCATAGCTCCTCAGAGCAGAGCATCTACACCACAAGACTCTACAGAGGTATTACAAGTCCTCATGAGATGTTCCTGTCACATGTCATAGGAATACAGAGTCAGATAAGAACAGTGTAAGCAATAAGGTATAGTACAGTATTGGGAAAGGTGTATTTTACAGTAGAAATGCGATGTTTGAACTAAAGATCACACACAGTTAGGTACTGGGAGAATAAGATATATAAAATGTAAAGTATAAACTGTGGTATAAATATGATCGTGTTACCGGTGATGTTGTATGAGTAGTGGAAGCAGTTGGTGTTGAGTTTGCAGATCTCCGTCTCCTCTGACGGAGGACACGTCTTCCCGTCTCCAGGCTGACGGAGGGGGGGCGCTGTCCTCTCTCTGGAGCTGTTCCCCCCACAGGGCTGAGGAGAGAGAGGACATTAGTGAGCAGACCTTAAGATGTCTTCAGCTAAGGTTAACCACAGACCTTGTGTTTGTATTCATGCAGTCTATGAAAAGAGTCTTGTGAGCACACTGACTTCACGCCACTCAACAGGACTAAACCCTGATCAGGATCTGATTCCAATCAAATTCAACTGTGTTGTTTTGTGACACAGTGTGCGACAACATGATCTGCCCTCAACTGACACTTTGTGCACATTTATGCTTAAACATTTATCTGAATGTGTATTAGTATAAACAGTCCACAGCTTGGATAGCATGTGTTTCAAATATGCATAAAGATAAAAACCTCCACAGCTACTCTGAATAGTTATCACTGCAATGAATAGTATTTCATTTCATCTTACTTTACAATATTTAACTTTACATTCTGTCAAATGACATTGTGTTCCTGACTGTTGTCATCTGTCCTCTCATTGCACGCAGAACACAGAGCCCTGACAGAGGGACTATATGTGGTTCATATAAGTACCAGGGGACAGGGGGTCCAGACCCCCCAGTCTGAGAGCACACAGTCCTCGGGGCAGGGTAGTCGGCTGTTCCTCGCTCCGAGGGGCATCTCCTCCGGGTCGCAGAGGTAATCCTCCACCTGCTCCGAGGGCCCGTCGATGGTGTTCAGCATGCACCTGCACACGGGGGGGATTCATGATCAGAGTCATAATGAATAAATAACATATATAAATAATATATATATATATATATATATAACATAAATAAATAATAGTTGTATTGATAATAACAACAATTTAGAAAATATATTAAAAAAATACAATCAAATAACAATAATAAAAACAATAAGGATAATAATACAAACATAATATTAATAACAAGTGTCATTAAAACAAGTATAGTATAAATTAAAAGTGTATTAAAAAACAAGAAAGCAAGAAGAATAGTAATAACTCTGAGAAAGTCCCAGCGTGTTTCTTTATCATCCGTGTTTCCTCCGGGTCTCTCTTACCTGACCTTGCGGGTCTGAACCCCCTCCCCACAGTTCTCCTTCAGGTCCACGTTGCTGACCTTCCACACGCTCCACGGCTCAGACCTCCAGACATACTGACCGCAGTCACTGAGGCACGGCACCACCTCGTACACCTGGAGCAGGGAAGATCAAGAAAACACAGAAAGAAATACACAGAAACACATTAAACACAAATATATACATAAAAAACACAAGAAATCACGTATCAAAGACACAAAAACTAATAACAATACACAATGAGAAGTGTTCTCACCTGAGCCTGAGGATGGCATCCATTCATGAAAGAAGAGAAATAACAAATAAATAGATAATTAATTCAGATTATTATACTCAAGGATTCAACAGAGATATACATGAAGTAATATATTAACATAAAAACGCTACTATTTATTATAATATACTAATTTTTACATATTTATTGTTGTAATATATTTTAGTGTCAGTCTTACATTTAATGTGTTTATTCACATATTTTTATTTTATTATATTTCCTAGCGCAACTTTTACAAAATCCAATTAACCCGGGAAACTTAATGAGACACATCCACCCTTTTAAGCATTTACCTCCCCCCCCCCTCTTCACCTGGTTGACGTGGTCCAGTTTGGGGCAGGGTCTCCCCCCGTTGTACGGCTTCTCTCGGAGCCACTTGGACCGGACCTTCACTCCGCTGCCGCACGACTTACTGCAGCGAGACCAGTTGGACCATTCGCTCAGTTTGCAGTCTGACGGACACGGGATGATGCACGCCTCCTCGATGTAGCCTGCAGACACAACACATTCACAATCATCATCATCATCATCATCATCATCATCATATTTGAGAATTATTATTGTTTATTTTTTATTATTCTTTTTTTTTTTTTTGTACTTTGTTATAATTATTAATTTGAGTGAGAGAAAAAAAGAAAAAATATATATATATATTATTGTTGTATGTTTTTGTTTCTGACATGTTCAATAAATTGACTAACATTTTTTTTTTTTTAAATCATCGTGCTATCTAAGAAGAGAAGAGAGACTCCAAAGACTTCCATCTCTGGATGTCTGTGCTTGCTCTGAAACACCAGAGTCCCTCAACAGGAGGAGGTTAGCTTTCCTCGAAGGCGTCCATGAGATCTGAAATGAGTTCATGTTTGGTGTGGAAACAGTGGCCATCAAATCTAGAGTTATAGACCATATATCTGCTGTTGGGGGATTCCCAGACCCAATGAAGTCACGGACTCACAGGAAGTTGTAGTTCCACCGTTTGGCCACTACGGGAATGAGCTTCTATCTGAATACGATACGCGTGTGTTTAGGCCTCACCGTGGCTGTTGCAGCGCGACGTCTCCACGATGCGGTTGTCCTGGTCGTAGCACACCATGGCCTGGAACCTGTACCCCTGCCCACACTCCTTGATGTCTCCCTGCACCTTCATGCCCAGAGAGCCCTCCAGCCGCCCCCCGTCCGGCAGCACACAGTCAGACCAGTTGCCCACCGGCTGGGCGTTGTACTTGTTGCAGGGGCAGTACTGCGTCTCGCTGAGAGGGAACACCTGGTTGTTCTTACACTGGTCACGCTTCTTGCTCTTACCTGCAGGGAACCATGGAGAACGTTTAAGAGATTTAAAACTATATTGTTCTGCAAAATGCCCCCGCCTACATTATCCCCTCTGCACTAAACCTGGCTGTCACGATATTGTTCCACACACCGTACCCATCCTGTTACATTCATATTCATACAGTTACATCTCTCTATCCTTATGCATACTTATATGTGTATACACAACCCTATACCTGCTGTTAGTACATCTGATTTATTTAAGTTTCATCTTATTTTGTATCTTATCATCGTACAGTCCAACTGCCTGTCTGTCTTACTGTGTAAATGACTAACTGTAACACTGAGGCTGATTGGTGTAAAACATGAGTAAAGTCCTCTTTCCGCTCTTTCTCTCCAGATGTCCCCAGCGAGGTGTCACTCACCGACCAGCGTCCTCTTGCGGGTCCGGACCCCCACACAGTCCACGCTGCAGGAGGAGAACTTGGACCAGAGGCTGAGCTGACAGGTTTCCTCACAGGGAAGCTGGCAGAGCTGAGTGAGGGGCGGCATAGAGCTGGAGAACTGAAGACACGCCTCCACATCCGCCTGGCCGCCGTCCTGCTTCCTGCACGACACCGCTGCAGAAACACAGATTCACCAGGGGTTAGAGGAGGAGGGGGTGCAGGAAGGAGTCCTACACACTTATCCTCACTTCCTGTCCCCTGGACCCTAACCCGAATGTTTTAGGATGATTATCAACCAATCGTCTTTCAGCTACAAGAGCAAAGCCTGTGTTCCCTCTCCTGTAGCGTGTTCTATATGTTAGTGCATGTAAATGGTCTGCAAAGACTCAAATCCCTAATCCCCTACATCTAAGCAGCTTCAGGTGCAATGCAGCTTTAGTATTATGAATCCTGAAGTAGATGTGATTGAAGCACGACTTAATATGCCCTTAAACTGTCTCTTGGTATGTTTACAATAACACACACACACACACACACACACACACACACACACACACACACACACACACACACACACACACACACACACACACACACACACACACACACACTCAGTGAAGGCAGTAGAAGGCTGTCTCCTGGTGCGTCTGTGTTGAGTGGAGGTGAAGAGGTTCAGAGGTTCAGAGGTGGAGAGGTTCAGAGGCTCAGAGGTTCAGAGGTGGAGAGGTTCAGAGGTTCAGAGGTTCAGAGGTTCAGAGGTTCAGAGGTTCAGAGGTTCAGAGGTTCAGAGGTTCAGAGGTTCAGAGGTTCAGAGGTTCAGAGTGTCAGAGGTTCAGAGTGTCAGAGGTTCAGAGGTTCAGAGGTTCAGAGGTTCAGAGTGTCAGAGGTTCAGAGTGTCAGAGGTTCAGAGTGTCAGAGGTTCAGAGGTTCAGAGTGTCAGAGGTTCAGAGGTCAGAGGTTCAGAGGTTCAGAGGTTCAGAGGTTCAGAGGTTCAGAGGTTCAGAGGTTCAGAGGTGGAGAGTGCAGCTTAGAGGATTGTGTTCCAGGTAATGGAGCTTAACGACAGGAGACTCCTCAGCTGGAGCAGCAGATCAGATGTAATGGTTTCTGTCTGAGCGTGCACAGATAACACGTCCACTGACGGCTTCAACACACACTTCTATAAGTAGCCTAAAGGAACAGTGCACGTCTTATTCTGCAGGGAAGTTAACTCCCTAAATGTTATTACAGCCATCGTGTAAAAACAAGATTTCCTTTTCCCCCGACGGCTTTGAAGACAATGATTTTATAAAAGCAAGACTGAGACAAAACTTGTTTTTTTAACAAACTACTGCATGTCTTATGTCGTAATATGTTATTAATGCCAGCGTAAATGTCCCCGCTGTGGGACTGATAAAGGAATTCTGATTCTGAATCGTACGGTGGCTAACAGGTGCTAACGCACTACAACCAACCAAACCTCTGACATCAGGGGGAACACGCTGCAGCTTCAGAAAGGAAGCAGATAAAGAAACCCAAATGTTCCTCATGAAGAAACTTCTCCAGCAACTTGACAACACATGCAGCATTTAGAGAACATTCAGCAGCTTGAGGAGACATGCAGCTTACTAGTTTACTAAACGCTGCAAATACAAAACTCTGCCGGTGTGTCCCCGTGTGTCCGTGTGTGTCTGTGTGTGTCCGTGTGTGTCCGTGTGTGTCCGTGTGTGTGTCCGTGTGTGTCCGTGTGTGTCCGTGTGTGTGTCCCCGTGTGTCCGTGTGTGTCCGTGTGTGTCCGTGTGTGTCCGTGTGTGTGTCCGTGTGTGTCCGTGTGTGTGCGTGTGTGTCCCTGTGCGTGTCCGTGTGTGTCCGTGTGTGTCCCTGTGTGTCCCCGTGTGTGTCCCTGTGTGTGTCCCCGTGTGTCTGNGCCTCTGGCCTATCCAGCTCAATACACGTGTGGAAAGTCACTAGAGAGGGACAGGCTTAGTTGCAGTATTCGTGAAGGCAAAGTAGACTCTTTGTTGGTCCTCTCTTCCATTGTTGTGCAGTGCCTCAATTCAAGAAGAATTCTCTTGAGCTGCCCAAAAAATATTCTCTCAGGCACTAACAAACAATCCAATTGCGCCAACAGCGATCTGCACAGATACCGGTGCCTATTGTTGAAGAAAATAGTTTGGTGATGTGTAGTTTTATGAAGTATTCAGTCTAAACACGTGCAACTTGTTCAATATCACCTGTCGAGACTAACTTCCCCTGGATATATGGCCCACAGGACTCTAGTCCAGCAGAATATTAAAGGACTTTTGCTGCCCCAACAGTCTCATGCTACTGATACCAAAACAACAAACGTACATTTACCCTAAAAATATATTGGAATGAATGATTGAATTCAAATCTCAATACTGAATAGTATTAGAAATGAATTTTACAAAAGAATATATTAAATATGTTTGACAGCATTCGTTGCGTATAAAATAAAAGCGCAAATAATGGGGTGTTTTTGGGAGGGTTCTAATTACAGGATTAGTTAGAGCTGAGGGCTTTCAAACGAAAGTTCCTTTTCTATACAATGAATTTAAGCGATGACTGAAGAGCCAGTAAAAGCTCAACATAAAATGCCAGGCAAGCATCGATATCAAGCCCAAAGTTTTACCAAACACACCACGGCTCTCGACTGAGATATGGGAGCCAAAAGCATGCAAAAGCTTTTCGTTCTCCCTCTTGCAAAGCTGCAGCCACTCTTATTTATAGCTCAAAGACCAGTGGAATGCCCATTCTTACTAGTCTAGTGCCTTTTCGTTTCATTATAAAATTGTACTGGTAATTAGTGTCAATTATTTGATTAGGAATGCTGCTGAGTGCACTTGTATTGTTCACGTCTCTCTTTCATTTTAAGCGTATGCATCTTTTTTTAAGAAAAAAAAACATTTTTACCCTAGTTTAAGCCGTCCCCACTGTTCATAAAGTTGTCAAGTGCTTTTCTTCTAGCACACTTGACAAACAAGGATAAGAGTAATGCAAAACAGGATGAGCAACATGAACCACAGACACACATGGCCTTTTCATTTCATTTCCGACATCAATGGGAAGATCCGTTACTCTAGCTGTCAGCGTCCTGACAGCCCTCATCCTAATCCTTGCCAAAGAGACTGCCTTGCAATTACCCCTAGCACTATGCCGTGTGCTGCTGTGTGTGTGTGCTGTTGGTGTGCTGTGTGTGCTTGTGTGTGTGTGTGTGTGTGTGTGTGTGTGTGTGTGTGTGTGTGTGTTTGTGTGTTTGTGTGTGGTTGCTGTGTGTGTTGGTGCCCTGCTGATGTGTGTCAATGGAATCAAGATGTGCTTCAGTGTAATGGTGTCTTTGTGTGTGGATGTGCGTGGATAAATGGATATGATCCAATGTGAGTGTGTGTCTTTATGCATGCCTGAATGAAGCCTAGTTGCAGCTCTCTCTTTGCAATTCTCCCGTCACTGGAACAGGAACATCAGGCCAGCAGTGTGTCGCAATCAAGGCATTTACCCCCGTGTATATAAAAGAGAACACAGAACAGAAACGAAGTTGTTCTTGAGCTAAGACTGACAGTAAGTGTAACCTAACTTAAGGTAGTAACTGCCTTAAATGACATGTGATAGTCTAAGATGAGACAAAGACGTGTGGTGCTTATGCGAACTATGTACTCGGTAGTGTTCGTCGGTTCTGTTGTCTAATTGGTGGAAAGTTCAATTTAAGTCAAAGTTTTTCGAAAAGGATCGGACCTCATACAAAAGGCAGATTCGGCTGTCTGTGTCGGTGTCCGTCGGTGTAGTCGCGGAAGAGGATGTGTCCCAGTCGGTACGTCACTATGCCGTGACGAAACTGATCGGACGGACACAGAATTTACTCGTGGTCGTGATGAACGCGAGAGACGAGAGCCCTCGAGCTTGGGGGGGGGTTCCAGATGTGAGTGAAACCCTAAATGAACAGTCGCGGGAACAAATGGGGCGGGATCACTGGGCGCGTGAAGCCGTCTTTTACAGGAAACACTCGAAAACCGAAAGAGTACAGTTTTATACACGCTGTTTTGGGCCAGTAAGCTGAACTAGAAGCATTAGTGGTAGTTGCGCGTTCGAAGGTTAGCTCTGATACACCTATGAGCAGTGCATGAAATGACAACTATTCCAAGAACTTCCCGTCACAAAAAAGTTGAAGTCCGAGGTAGGGGCGAGGGGTTGTGCCTACGTCGGATAATGGCGGCTGGGGGGTGCGATGACGTTTAGCATTGGTAATTATTCGAGAACCTATCAGGTATGATTCATAGACTAATGGTAAAACATGGCTTCGATACCAAGTAGACAGGTGCCTATTTAGATTCGAGATGTTTTTTTTTTGGATTCATGATAACCTTCCTCAGCCTTATTCAACAATCTGTTTCCGTCTTAATAGCTCTCTCTGCTCTACGTCCTCTCTTATGTAATTCATAACTCAACACTGAAGACTCTCGTAGATACCCCCGTCCCTTGTCTCTGACGTTTTACCTCACAGGCCACACTTCGAGTCCAACACTAGGATCTGTGCCCGCGACCTGATGTGGTTGTGTGTAGAGTTCTAGTGTCAACGTAGTGTTTAGTTAGTAACGAGACTGTTCTTTGAGTTGACAGTACAGTGGTCGTCTGTCGTTAGAGTCGCCGTCTGACTCTGTTTCATGTCATCGTACCAGCACAAGTGTGTTAACTTGGATGAAGTGAGGAGAAGTCAGGGTACGGGGCGAGTTCTAACACAAGAATAGGTATACGTCCGAAGTGCCATAATAGCTTGTTTACTAGAACAATATTGTTAACACGATCTACCACAGTAAGAAGACAGCTATGTACACGTCATACTGGGCAAGATGAAGAGGAATGTCGTAGTGTGACATCTGTCAACAGAGTAGACAAAAGACGTAGAATAGAATGTAGAAGCAGATTCAACTAGAGAAGATGAAAAAAGGAGGTAGAAGATTAGGCAAACAAACATTTAGACAGTAAGGAGAGGGTAGGACCTCCGGACGATCATATGTCAAGCTATCGATCACATAACGTCCAACTACGAAGTCGTCTTTACGACTAAGGCCTGCTGCCAGTTACAACAATCTCGCACGAAGTTGTACGCTTACACGAACAGTATAAGACGCAACAGTGGACATTGTTGACGTGTTTATAGTACGTATGAAGCAAGGACAAGTGTGTACTAGACGGAGTAGTTGTAATAGTGCCTGGGGACTGTGTTTACAAACATCCAAGCGCACAAAAAAGTGTCACGTCATTTGAGTTGTGACACCGAGTCACCGACACGCTAATCTTGAAGTTGGTACGAGTGCACAGGGTCGGGTGTGTTTGTGACTGTAATAAATACTCGGCTAACAGGATTGCACTAACATTTTTACACCGTATTATGTACACATATTAAGGTACCACAGTTAACATACTCGCATCCGGTTGCGTGTCCCACTCTACGGTCTCACTCTTCTCACATGGAAAATCGCTTAAGCAGATGTCCAAGTCTGTGTACCCAACCACCAGTTTTATACAGCACATCGACGTGACGTACACATGATTACAGACAAGCCACTCTCAGTAGACTGCATAGAAGTTGCAAACTAGGGACTGAGTGTAAACCAAATAATTCGAAAGTCCACGAAACCCTTACATAATTTGTCGAGTCTTATCCATTTGACTTAAGTGGTATCGGGAGCTCGGGCCTATCGTACACAAGTACACGAAACTTATCAAGTGTCAGAATATTAACTCGAAGCCACACTAATCCCTAACGAAGGAACAAGATGCCCAGGTAAAATGTCCTACGACATGACACTACAGAAAGTTGAGCTCAATCAAAAAGGGATGCTCGTGGAAAGAATCTCTGCACAGAAGCAGACTATTATTTTGATCCGATTCCGATTCGTCAAAAGCTCAAGTAGTTAGTCCAACTCATCCAAGGTTTCGTCGTCGCCGAACAAGTCCGAACGCCGTAAGAAACGACGCCGTCGATGCTCAGTTGCGTCTCGTTACAACCCTCTTTTGACAAGTCCCCTTTCTTACACTTTCCCTTGGCACATCCTTCTGACCTTCCCAAGACCGACTAAACTTTGTGTCTGACCACCTCGAGATACACCGAGTCTACTCAGACGAAAACTCTTGCGACCCTGACGTTCAAAGGTACCTAGCGAAGTAACGTTCGTCGTAAACCTTTCGCTACAAATTACCGATCAGCGACTGTCGTCAATAAATGTTCAGTAAGACTACGTGCACTAGAGCGTGTTACATGACTCAAAATTCTGTCTATTGTGTACACCATTCATGACTTAGGATATTAGTTCACCGACACTACGCTCTGTGTTCTTACGGGATGGTCGATGACCTATTCGTATTGTCTGCAAAACGAGCAGTAGATCTTCGTTAATACTATCAAGAGGACTAAGAGTGCACGTTAGGGACCGAGTATGAAAAAACAATGTGTGGTAATATACGACTTAAACGGACACCACCCGTATACGAAATCACCGTACGAAGCTAAACATCTGAACCTCACTGATCTGTGACCTTTGTGACGACTGATGTCATTTGTTGTCTCGTATACCTCAACCGTCCGGTACAGATCTCAAGTTATCGACGAAATACAAAGCCCAAGGCAACGTACTCAGTGGCTACTATTAACGTGAGCGAAGATTTACCCATGTATGTATTGTGTTTGACCTGACCAGAGGAGAATGAACGACCGACTCAATAAGTCCACCTATTCCTTAGGTTAACTTGACCGACGTACGTAATAAATCAGTCAGAGAAGACCGTTTTGAAACTTTAACGGTCGCGCTCAACCAGAGGGTCATGTAGACCGTGCAGGAATCACGAGAGATAAGGTTCATGTTAACAGGAGTAAATCCGGAACGCGTACTCTTCATCTGTCTCGGGAAACGAAGTAATGCGTAGTCATTGGTACAAGTCAAGAAAGGTCTCTTGAGTATGCCTACCTGCGGACTTTAGGCAGAAACCCACAACATGTGGCGTATATCACTTCAGGAAAGTATACCCTAAAAGAGTACAGTGATAAATTATGTTTCACTAGTTATATGGAGACGCATGGGGCCGCTAGATCGATCCATTCTCGAGGTGCGAAGGAAAAGTCCGTCGGTATTAAGTCTGAGTTCTGAATACGAGCTAGTATGTCTAGACGATATAGATAAATATTCAATACCAGCGTAATTAGCACTAATGTAAATTATTTCGATAAGGACAGCCAACACCAAAAACTGCGCGTACTGTAAATCCGACTCTAGCGATGACAACTTAGTATGCTAGTCGAAAATAATTAGCCACTGAGTCACCCGTATCTATGAAGTCCATTCTGTCGTAATGAGCCAAATAATCACCGTGGGCGGAGTAATAGGTTCATAGTTTCCTTGTGAGAATGAGAGCAGTGCTAGTCGGACACAGGGTAACAGGACGGTAGAATCCAGTAATTGACGTGCTTCTATGACTGCGAGTACATCTAGATTCACTCGGAATTAACTTATAGAAAATTGTGATCACACTAAGTATTTTATTTATAATTATCAAATTATATTTAGGCATATGTCGTACAATCAAATCACACGGAGTGGAGAGAACGTCGTTGTGTAGTTCGATACTGTTTCCGCGACTATACATAATTCAACTTATCCAGTTACACACACTCCGTTACGTAGGTCTACCTGCAGGACACAACTCTACCAGGGAGGTGAAACAGAGACCATCTTGTAACCTGATTATACAAGGACCACTTCATTCCCAGTCTTGCGTCTTGCGTCGGAATGCTATCTGGACGATGAAACACACATATTAGACAAACAATTTACACATCCGTGTCGCCGTACAACGGTTCTGACTCGCAGCGCTCAGAGTTAAGCCTTCTGCTCACGACGTCCACGTAACGATTGAATAGATGCGTGTCGTCGTCTACCAAAAAGAAGAGTGTCAAGTAATAAGACAGAGAGAGACTAACCTGGCACGTCTGTTGTACCCCTGTTTAATCCATCTCTTAGTTCGCTCCATGGGTACGTAGACTCCATAGTTGTCTCCACTCTACGTCCGACTTACAACGGCAACCACTGGACGGTGCACGAACGTACATGTTCGTTGTCGTCAATGTGTGTGAGTATACAACGTCAGTATGGTCTGTTTGCGACAGGTTGTCTCTTCTAAGTACATAACAATTAATCGGTTGCCAGTGGTCGCGTCTTCTACTCTACATACTTTAGTTCGCTGGTACTACAATCAGAATGTACTCCATTCATCTGATCGTCTGTCCCGCCTGTCGACGCCTCACTGACTCTTATAGTATTAAGACACAGAGTGATGTCTGTTGTGAGACATCCATCCGGTGTATTGTGTGTGTGTGTGGTGTGTGTGTGTGTGTGTGTGTGTGTGTGTGTGTATGTGTGTGTCGTTGTGTGTGTGTGTGTTGTGTGGTGTGTGTCGTGTGTGTGTGTGTGTGTGGTGTCGTTGTGTGTGTGTGTGTGTG